CAAAGTGAGTGCAATAAAGTGGGGCATGCCTGTATTGCGTACTTAGTTGCTTCAACCGCCATTTTATTTGTACCTTTTCAGGACTTTGGGCAGGGCTCCACTGGGGGATTCTCCTGCTCCAGGTGGCAGGAACTGGGATGGCTGGTGCCCTGTGGGCAGCTTAGAGCGCCCAGGATGGCTCCCCTCACATTCCTGACCCTCGGTGGGGACAGCAGGAAACTGGGCTTGACTTGGCCCTTACCCTCTATGGCAGTGGTTCCCAAACTTATTTGGCCTACCGCCCCCTTTCCAGAAAAAATATTACTCAGCCCCTGGAAATTAATTTTTTTAAAATTTTAATAGCAGTTACTCATCGCCCCCAAATGCACCTGTGGCCATCACCGCCCCCCTGGATCGCTGCAGCGCCCACCGGGGGGCGGTAGCGCCCACTTTGGGAATCACTGCTCTATGGGATCTCAGCCTCTCCACAGGCCCTTCCCAGCAGGTACTCAAGACCCCAAGGGACGCAGGTGGAAGCTGCCAGTTTTCTTAAAAGCTAGATCCCGAAGTGGCTTCAGGACCCTTGCCTGTGTATGGCCAGGCCCAGAGTCAAAGGGAGGGAAAGGGACCCACCTCCAAGGAGAAGCTTGTCAAAGACTGTGCACTCCCCACAGCCTCTCCTCCGGTTCCCGCGTGGGAGGCATGCTACCCTCCCAGACTCCTAAAGCCTCATCAGCACCACCACAGCAGGTTCTAGTTCAACACGGCTGTGTGGGAAGGTGCTGAATTCACTTCCTCCCACGAACACAACACCTGTACAGCTACATACGGAACAATTGCCTCGAAAATAAAAACCCCAGAACTAGCTGAGCAACTCCCACACACTGGGCCAAGGCAAAAAACTCCCGTCGAAGTGGCAAGGAGAGGCCTGAGCCGTAACGTGGCCGTAACTCCCATCCCCAGCGTGGCGACCGCGATAGAGTGAGTCACAGGCTCGCCCCTGAGCTTCTCCCTGGGGAGCAAAGGGCCTGAGCCCTGCATCTGGCACCCCAGCTTTTAAGACTTGCACCTGAGCGACAAGCCCCCACAACATCTAGCTTTGAAAGCCCAGGGGGCTGCCGAAACCGGTTTGGCTCAGTGGATAGAGCGTCGGCCTGCGGACTGAAAGGTCCCAGGTTCGATTCCGGTCGGGGGCATGTGCCTGGGTTGCGGGCACATCCCCAGTAGGAGATGTGCGGGAGGCGGCTGATCGATGTTTCTCTCCCATCGATGTTTCTGACTCTCTATCTCTCTCCCTTCCTCTCTGTAAAAAATCAATAAAATATATTTAAAAAAAAAAAAAAAAAAATTTAAAAAAAAAAAAAAAAAAATTTAAAAAAAAAAAAAAAAAAATTTAAAAAAAAAAAAAAAAAAATTTAAAAAAAAAAAAAAAAAAATTTAAAAAAAAAAAAAAAAAAATTTAAAAAAAAAAAAAAAAAGAAAGCCCAGGGGGCTGTGTCCACGAGACCCACAGGCTGCAGCAAACTAAGGAATAGTTCTTAAAGGCTCACGCATGGACAACTCCCCACCCCAGGGCCCGGAGCAGAGGCTGTGGACGGAAGAGCACCCAGCCTTTCTGAGAAAGAGGCTTATTTGCTGATCTTAAAGCCTCGGCCTGAAGAGCAGGCACCATCCCTGCCCCCTCCCCCTGCCTCCCTCCAGCTCATCAGTAGCTCCCTCTGCCCAAGGGACACCTCTAGATTGCCTGGCTCGGTGGCCAGTGGCGACTATGCCCACGGGCCCCCAGGACGGTAGCAGATGGAGAAAGGGTTCTTAACCTGCTACCCCTCCCAGGGCCCCCAGAGAGGCACAGAGAGGCGCCCAGTCTCCCTGTGAAAAAGGCCCATTAGCTTGTTTTCATAGCTGTGGCCTGAGGGGCAGCCTTCTAATTAGACACACAGGCTTCTAATTAGACACATCTAAGGGCAACTGGAATCCTCTCGGAAGGCTCTGGAGGGCCGGTGCTCTCTTCGCCCTGTGCCTCTCCGCGCCGCACAGGCTGGCGTCTCCTGGAAGCCTGGGCCTGCACCTGGTGCCCTGGTTTCTGTGGCTGCCGCCCAGGGGTGTCCCCTCGGTCACCTGGCTCTGATCCCAGCAGGACTGTGTTCACAGTTCAGTGGGATGGCAGCAAGGAGAGAACAGTTCTGAACTGGCTACCACCCGGGGCCAAGGGCTCAGGGCCCAGGGCTCAGGGCAGAGGCAAGAGACGTCACCTCCCAGGCCCCCCTGGGAGGCAGATTCGCACACGTCAGCAGCTGCTGCCAGGTGTGGCTCACAGTCAGTCTGGACCCAGGTGCGGACCGAGACACGCCCCTTCAGGACCCTGACGGGTCTTGGCACACCCTCAACCCCAGGAGCCACTGAAAACGAGTGGGCTGCTTGGACGGCACAGAGATCTGAGAACCACCCGGGCCAGGGCGGGCGAGCAATAAGCTTCATCACTACCTGAGGCCGCTCCTGAGTGGTGCAGCTCCCGCTGGTAAAGTAAATGAGTCACAGAGATGTGACGTGCCGCACGGCGACTCCATCGTTAACAATACTGGATTGTACATTTGGAAACTGCTAAGAGACTAGATCTTAAAAGTTCTCATCACAGGAAAAAAAACCTTTAAATCGGTGTGGTGATGGGTGTTAACTGACTGCGGTGATCATTTCAAAATGTACACAAATAGTGAGTCATATTGTTGTTCACCTGAAACTAATCTACAAGTTACATGTCAATTACATCTCAATACAAAAGGCTGAAACACTGGACATTCCATCAGGAGCCAGGAGCCAGGAGCCAGGAATACTAACGGCACCCGAGGGGCGGGGACGACCGGTCACCTTGCCGCTGGACCACGAAGCCCGAGGTGCTCGCTCCTTCCATGCCCTCGTCCCGGCCCGCGGGCTGGTTCACCAGACGAGACACATGCCCCTCCATGGTTATCACCAGCCGGACTGAGTGCCATGGAGAGAGCCATCGGAAGGAACCCGCAGGGGGAGGACATCAACCTCCAGCCCAGCCCCTCTTCCTACTAAGACCAAGACTCCCCACCCCAAACCCCGACAAGTGTCCACAGTTGTTCTGGGTCCCGAGACGGCTTACACCCCGAAGACTCTGAGTTCTCAACTCATTCCTGAGAACATGGGGTTTGCTATTTGGGGCAGCGCTGACGCCCTCCTAAAGGCCAGCGAAGGGCCACCAGGGAAGAGTGGCCGGCAGGCAAGGAGGTGGCCGGGGTGCGGCACGGGGGCCCCAGCCAGCAGGCAGCAGTTCCTGAGGCTGAGCCACGGCCAATGCTCTCGGAATGTCTAGCTGCTCTGCAGCTCCCATGACAGGGAGGTGAGGCCGGAATTGCTGTTTGTGGGGACGCGACACCCTCTGCTGTCATCTCGGGGAGGCAGAACCAGGGGCGCTCAGTGCGGAGACCCAGCAGCCTACTCCCTGGCACCTCCCTCCTGCGCCCCTTTGGGCAGCCACCAGCCCTGCCAGCCGGGCCCAGGCCTGAGCCTGCCAGGGCACTGGCCACAGGAGCAGCAGGAGTGGGACCAAGGGCAGCCCTCAGCTGGGAGGGCGCAGTGAGCGTCTCCAGCAGGTTTGTGACTTTAAGAAAGGAACTAGCGCCCTGGCCGGTGTGGCTCCGGGGTTAGAGCGTCGCCTGTGCATCGGTCGGTCTCGGGTTCAATTCCGGTCAAGGGCACATACCTGGGCTGCAGCTCAATCCCCACCCTGGGTTGGGGCATGTACAGGAGGCAATCAATCGATATGTCTCTCTCACATCGATGTTTCCCTCACTCTCCTCTTTCTCTCCCTTTCCTCTCTAAAGATCGACAGGAAATCACTTAGGTGAGGATTAAAAAAAAGAAAGAAGCTATCGAAAGGGACACCCACTTCCCCCGAGAACTAAGTGCTTCTCTACATCCAGACAAGGCCAGCCCATCCCTGACTTCAGGCTTCCAGGCACTGGGGGTGATGTGAACAATGCCCCTGCCCCGGCTAGGGACACCCTCCCCGGCCAGCTGCGACTTCGCCTCCCCTCTGATGCAGCTTGGAGGTGTGTGTGTGGGGAGGGGTACCTGGAGGCCCAAGGGAAACGCGTGCCGTCGTCGGTCTAGCCGGGACGGGAAGTTCACACAGCACCACCTTCAGTCTGTGGCCACCTGGGTGTCCCACCTGCCCACGTGGCGCTCTGTGCAGGGGAAGCTCCAAGCGCTGGGAGAGTCTTTTGCACTCAAACCAGAACCCGCGCTCCCTGTGACCTGCAGTAACACGGGTGTGTGTCGCAGCGCTCAGGGCTCCGGGCCCTGGAAGGAGACTGACGGTCACTCAGGGCAAAGTGTGTCCCAGGCCGGTGGGTCGCGGCCTCCGGGAGAGAGGACAGGACACTGACAGCCCGGGGCTGGGAGCAGGCCGCGCCAGCACCCAGGCTGGGACCCCCCTTAAACGGTCCCTGGGAGGCCCTTCAGCCAGTTATGGACCCCCCCCCCCCCACCTCCACTACCACCACCCAGCCTCCACACGCACCCTGTCCCCCCTCCCGGCCTTCCCGGTCCCACGGCCTCCTCCTCGGGGCCAGCAGTCCGGCTCCCCGCGTCCGAGCAGGACAAGGACAGACTCGGCTCCTTGGGTCACCGTTGCCCAGGCCGCCCGCACGGCGCTGAGACCTCAGCCCTGC